GAAATGCTAAATGGCTGCAGACTTTCTACCGAGGCTAACCCAACTGATTAACCAGCTAATGACGTATCGTAAAGTTATTTTATAAACACATAATGACAAAGAAAACATAATGTTCTGCACTATAGTTACTTTTACTTTAGAACTACGATTAGGTTTATTTTGTAATAAATATATAAACAAGGCTAACTGCTCAGGACAACTACACATGTTATTAAGCCAGCTAACTAACTTTCAGTTTGTCAGTCTCCCTATGTTTCCTCACAAAGAAAGAAAGAAAAAAAAAAACAGTAAAGAAGAAACAATGTTCAGTGCTCTGTTTACCTTAATACTGTACTGAAGTTTATTTTATAATAAATACAAAACATGCTCTGGCTCAAGAGATCACGGCACTGACAACTGACCTACCACAAACACTTTGGCTAATTAACTAGCCAAAGATAAAAAAGAACAGCAAAGAGGAACTTGTGTTGGTCGTGATAAAGTCATTTTGCAAAGTTTTGCATTACTTCTACATTTTTGTTTAGTCCTTTCAAAAATGTATTATTTCTCCCAGTTGAAGAAACTGGTCCAGAAACATGCCCAGTGTTTTAGCAGATTTTTTTATAATAAAAATGACTATGATTGAATTTTGTCTCACTACATTATGTGTTGCATCAAATTTAAAATGACATTAAATAAATAATAGTATGTAAACTATAGACTGTATAGTGCAGGGGTCTGCAACCTGCGGCTCTTGAGCCACATGCGGCTCTTTGGTTCCTCTGCAGCGGCTCGTTCAAGCTTTGACCAAAACTAACATAAAACTTAATTTTATTGGTTGTTATACAAACAACAAAAAAGGACTAGTTTTAACCGTTTTCCTGTCAATTCTTTTGCAATCAATCAACCTTTATTTATACAGGTAAATCCCATTGAGCCTCGAGGACTCATTTACAAGAGAGACTTGATTACTCATTTACAAGAGAGACCTGATTATTGCAAATATGTGAATACTGGAAAAAAGTACACAGAGTAAAACAAACTCTACCTTTATGCTTTATTTTTATACTTAATTAATTTAGCCACAATTAAAAAAATCACATAGGTCTGCAAAGTTCATAGTTTTTATTAATTAAAAAAAAAAGACTATCCCCCCACCCCTTTTACAAGAATATGGTCTTTTCATTTGTCTTAAATTGTAAAAAATATCAATGAATGTTAAAAATCATTAGATATTTTTAGCTTTATAAAGTCACCCCCACTGGCCACAAAAGACCCCTCCAACAAACCTAAAGTGGCCCATGGGCCACCAGTTGATAACCACAGTTGTAATAGGTTGTTGCAGCTTGGAATACAGTACATTAAATTTAATAAAGGCGTAAAAATGGCTCTTTTGATTGTAAAGTTTGCAGACCCCTGGTATAGTGTATATAATCAATTTAAGCCAAAACATAAATAGCTATAATAATATTACTAATTGAATTATATTACTTAAGCAGTAGTAGCAATACATGAACTCTTTAATAAAAAATAAAAAAAATCAATTACACCATATGGGATACATTTTGTCCTGTGTTGGACTTGTGACCTGTAGTATATAGCCTCTTGCGCAACGACCCCTAGAGGCACCAGCTCCCCCATGACCCAAAATGGAAAAGTAGATAAAAAAGATAGATGAATGGATGGATGGACAGTTTTTTTTAAAAATTTATTTTTTTTTTTATCAGTAATACCATAAAACCATGTTACGTTTTCTCAAGTTTTCTCATCAAAATATCATACGGGTCTATGTATAAATACTTAAATATTCAGTCTTTATTATCATTTTTTTAACAAACTGTATGTCTTGTGTATAAATCAATGTATAGCTAAAACAGATATTCTGATGTATTGCATTTGATTGATTAGTCGACACATGTAAGTTTAGAAAATTCACATTATACTTTGACGCTAGAAAAAAACATTCCACGGAGCACACATGGGGGAATCCAACAAACAAAAACGTATCCATATCTTTGCCATGACTCTTAAATAATGCAGAACAGTTAGCTTCAAGACTCGGCTGTGTTCGGATTCTGCTGTGCATGCACACCCCACACCCCTCATATGCTGGTTGGGGTACCTCACACTAACATCTCAACTATGTATCTCAACCTAAAGAAGGATGGACAGAATATAAAGAGAAATAAACACAGAGTGTGACTATCACTGTGTGTGACAAGATGGAGTAAAGGTTATCTTTGCTTAGTGGACTTTTTCTTGTGTTTACTTTCTGCTCGTCAGCCTAATCACTGAAACACCAGTGACACATCCAAGTCTCATCCCTGCTATGTCTCCCTGAGCAACCCCACCCTCTAAAGATGTTTTAGAACTGTGCCCATACTGAGTCCCTTTCATATAAATTCAAAGAGCAAAGAGTGTCAGTTGATAAAATATGCACTGCTCCTTAAAACAAATCTCTTGGGCTTTGTTGTCTCTGCATCCACATGCAAAGTTGTGTTCCAGGCAAGAAAAAGACCAACCTCATGGTAATGGGGAAAGGAAGAACGACAGGCTGGATGTTAGTCACTTCTTCAGTTCTACATAAGAGTGCATCTTCCTGCATGAGGTAGAACCGTGAACGGGGCTTTCAGATCCTTTGGAGAAAGTTTTTCTTTCTGCCTCTGGTCCATTAGGCAGATTTGCACTCGTGTCCTGGTGTTTCACAGTCACACATTCTGCAACCCTTCTGTAACCAGGCAAAATTTAAAAAGGAGCTGCGAAAAGAAGCAAGGTGGAAAATTTCCCCTGCATTATAGTGAAGACATGAGTGGCGACACGACCTAAGAGGAAGGGAGAGAAACTTGTAATCTCAGCTCCCAGCCTTTGAACTTGGCCCGATGCAGGCGACCCAAAGCAAAAGGCTCCAAAGAAGAGCTCACTGAAGATTTCTCAGAATACTGATGCAGTGTGGAATCCAATTCCTCTGGGAGCCCTCTGAGAAAGTAAATTATCTGTGCGCTCAAGACTACATACATACAAATGTTTGCAATATGCCATACATGAATAAAAAAAAAAAAAAGAAAAGAAGCCACAAGTTTTGGCGGAAGTTTGATTCTATAAAAATCTTTAAAAAAATGTGAGCACTTTGAGCATCTGCGCTTCGGTAAAAAGAGTAACAGAAAATGAGGTCTAGGGTCTCTGAGGTTCTAATTAGGACAGCTGTTACCATTTTCATTATTTGTGTGCATTTTGTGTGGAGAGCAGTGGAAAAACGGGAGCGTTTCATATGTGCAACGGGGTTGAGGTCATGAGATGTATGCCACAGTCCGACCGCGGCTTCTTCACTTCCAGCTGTTGGTAGTTTGTCAGAGAGCAGAGGTTTGCTGGTGTCATGTCCTCCTCCCTCGAGCTTTGAGTAATGGCAAAACCATCCGGAACCACGGGGCTGGAGGTGAAGATGTACGCAAAGCAAATGGGCATTTGGGCACACTTGTCCATTTGCTGAGAGATTTGGTGAGTCAAGGAAGAAACCACAGCCTCTGGTTGTGTCTACATATAGAATAGGGCTATTCAACTGGTGGCCCGTGGGCTATTTTTGGCCAGTGGGTGACTTCAATCCAGCCCACCATTAACATCATAAAAATTTTGAGGTGTTTTTGGTTCTGTTTATTGCATTTATGATCCAATACAACGAAATAAACAAATTTAAAAAGTAACAGATCATTGTAATACATGGTTTATTTACATAATGACTTTAATTGCTGGGTGTCTGGTCCCTGAGCTGCTGGCTCTCAGAAACTGTGCCCCCCTGAGCAGTTCAGTTGAAGAGCCAGAAGCTTAAGAGAGTTCATCGTTTCAAGAGAAGATCTGTGCCAGTGTCATTCCTTATGATTTAAATTCAATGATCTTCTTTGAACATGACAATTTAAAAACGCTGAAAAGTACCAAACAGATGCTCAGTGATAATTACTATAAAAAAAAAAAAACATTGGAGGGAGGAGAGTTGGAGGAAAATTAGGAGAATAAATTGTTGCAGCTGTTTAGAAAATCTGCTTGGTAATAATATTTATTCTTCTGTTTTAATTCCATTACACTACTTTTGACTGAAGCATAAATTGGGGATTGTTTCAAAGTTACTTCAAGAAATGTTTCCTTAAAAACACCAGCAGCAGTTTACAGCTTATGTAAGCGCATTTTGTCAGAAGGGTTCATAAACAAAGTGTTTAGTCAGTTCTGCGAACAAAAAGCAGCAGAGGCTGGTGACGTTCGTGCGTGTGTGAATGGGTGTGTATGAGAGGGGTGTGTGTGTGTGTGGGGAGGGGGGGGGGGGGGGGAGAGACAGGTGCTTTGTGTCTGCCAGCCTGAAGAAAAACAAACGCTCTGTTGCAGTTTGTCCACCTCACTCACTCCTCCAGTCTCTTTCTCTCCTCATCTCTCCATCCCGAACCCCTTTTGTCTGTTTGAGAGTTAAAACAAACTTCTCATCCTGTGAAACACCCCTTTAGCCCCCCCCCCCCACACACCCCTCTTTTGATGAAAATCAGTGCGGATTCTGTTGGCCAAGTTGAAGCATCATCAGCGCTTCGCTCGAGTCGCGCTGTACAATCTGCTTCTGAATCCGCACCGAACCGGGTTCTGTTCAGAACTGACAATCCGACCGGAATCAGTTCCGTTTGTTTTTCCAATCACAGCGCAAGTGTCACAAACCCCCCCAGCACCAAAGCATCCACGGAAACCACAGCTCGTGTGTCTTACGCATCCCGTGTTTGCACAACGGAACCCAAATTACGCATTGGCACGATTTCCACCAGCCGGGATCTTAAACCTCACTGCGCAGCTCATTACTTTCCCTAAACGTGATTAAACATTTAGTGACAGTAAACAGCAGTGAAATGTAGCACTGCAGCAGATCAGCTGCCCGGGAGGACCAGGCAGGACCAGGCAGCAGAGCTCTGAACCGGCTTGACGCAGCGCCAGCACCGGAGCGCGTCCATCAGAAAACCTGCAGGACGGAAGCAAACAAACACAAACAGCCTTACCTGTCACCATAAGGCAAAAGATGAGGTACAGAGAGGGCATTGTTGTGTCGCGTGAAAAGACCCTTCCTCTTGCTCCGATCTGCTTATTCTGCTCCAACGGAACCAGGATCAGGACCAGCGGGATGAGGGGGTAAAAAAAAAAAAAGTGCGCTTAAATTTGGTTTAAAACAGCATCCAGTTCAGCGAAGTGGCTCTGAAGAGTCCAACCAGTTCGTAAAGTGTCAGTCAACAAAACATCTCCACACTTGGTAACTTTCCCTCAGCATCAGCGTCTTCTCTCCGGTGTCCGCTCCCTTCCTTTGCCTCCCTGGCGCAGCTCTCTCCTCCCTCTGCTCTCTCCCCCCTCTCTCTCGCGCTGTGTGTAGCAGAGTGATTCAGTCCAGACTCATCCAACAGTCCGCTTCAGCAGCACGCTGCGCTCCGGAGCGATCTCTCCTCCTCTGTGCGCAGCGATCAGCCCGGGTGAAGTTGCCTCTCCTCCCTCCACTGCCGGAGTCTCTCTCTCTCCCTCTCTCTCGTCCCCCTTCTCCTCCTTTGCTCCCACTCTCACTCCCTCTAACACGCTCATCCCCGTTGAGACTCCACGGTTTACTTCTCACTCCCTCCCGGCCAATTGGAAATGCGCACTGACAGTCATCTGGTGGTGGGGTTCAACAAATCTGGCTAAATCTGAGGGGGGGGGGGGGGGGGGCATTGGCTGAGCAGGAGTCATGAGGAGGGTTTTTCATTCTTGGAACGGGAAAGGACTAGTTTAAAATGAAACTAAAACAAGGTTTAACCTGAAAAAGTTTGAAAGAGTTTACTCCATTTTTTTATATGATGTGAAATCTATAAACAATTTGCCAAAAACTGTGCCAAGTATGGTGGAATCAGACAAGTGTGGAACCAAGAAGAAGACGTTTAGGTTGAAATAAGAGGTCATCTGGGGGCAAAGACAGCTAGCTACATTCAGAATCTGTGTTTTTGGTGTATTTTTGATAGTTTTTTTTTGGTTTATTGTTTTATTTTCTCTTGTGGTTCATAGTCTTAGTTCATATCTTAGATCCTGTTTTTTTTTCTTTTACAATTTATTGTTGGATGTAACTTGGACCCTGTGTACATAATTTCGTTCCACCACATGTACCACATGTGAATGACAATAAAGATATCTGTTGTGTTTTTTTCTGTGTTGTGTTCTGTACTCCTGCGGATCCTCTGCCACTTCTCGTTCAATCAGTTTTGCTTCCTCTGCTTCAGCTCGCCTCACTCTCACCTGCTCCCTCATCTTGCCCAGGTGTCTCCACTTCTTCATCAGCCCTGGGATATATTCTGTATGTCCCCACTCACTTCTCAGTTGAGTGTTGAACATCTCGCATGCCATCTCTGGTCCTCCTTGTGCTCCTTGTCAATCTGTGTTTGTGGTTCAGACTCCTACTCACAATGACAATTTCAGTCTGGAACACTTGAAGAACAGCAGAGTAAATGATACTTTCCAAAAAAATGGGTGAAATACACCCAGTTTTCCAGACTGTTTAATCTGAGATTGTTCAAAAATCTACTTTACTCAACATATCTGAGTAAATGCTACATCAAAAATGGTTTGTCTCCATCCCAAATAGCCCCTCAATGGACTTTGCCATTGTTGACCCATCACTTTGGCTGTTTCTGCTGGTATTTGGTGCCTGTTCATAACTGTTTTGTTTACACATTTTTATTTTAAGAACGCGTTAATGATCAGTGTGAGAAGGAAAATTGTTTCTTACTTTATGCATATGGACAACACGTCATTGCAATCATGTCTTTTTAACTACATTGATTAAAGAAATATGTTGGTTTAAAGAGTTTTTCGTGTGATGAAAAAAGTCAACTTTCTGGTATCTAATAATGCTAGTGATTTTAATTATCTCAATTTTTGCACAGATTAAAAAAAAATAACCTAACAAACACAGTTCTAACTCGATTCTATTCTCTGCTGTGTGAATTGATTCAAAATCCATTAATTAAAATTGACTGTAACAGCTTGTCACTCTTTGTTGATTTAACCATGCAGGAAGTCTGTTTTTATTCAGTCAAATTAGAAAAATAATCATTTTTCAGTGAACTCTGTCTCAGGCTTACCATTTAGAACTTAAATTTATTTAGGCTCTAAATTATTTAGGTATTTACTTCTAGCCTACAAAACTATCAACAACCTTATATTCAAGATCTTATTGTTCCATATTTTCAAGGACAGGACACTTCACTCTCAGACTGCAGGCTTACTTGTGGTTCCTAGAGTTTCCAAAAGCAGAATGGGAGGAAGATCTTTCAGTTATCAGGCTCCTCTTTTGTGGAACCAACTTCCAGTTTATTTCCGTAGGGCTGGCACATTGTCCAGTTTTATGACCGGGATTAAGACGTTCTGTTATGATAAATCTTATAATTAGGTGTAGCCCAGTTTGAACTGTGCTATATAGTACAAACTAAGTATTGAACTAAATTCATAGTAATATCATTTAAGTTTAAAAAACAATGTCTAAGTGATAAAAGTGGAATAAATATGAAAGACAAAATTTTTGTCATTTAAAAGTGTATCATTTAAAAAAAAAGTTCATATTTGGTCAAGAAAATCTAATTTAAGCAGACTGAAGCAGGCAGCTGTGATTTTTACTACGTTCCTTAAATGTTGCACATAAGTTCATTTGAGGAGTGTTGCACATGCATGGGTAAATGCCACATGGCAGGTTACAACCTACTCTTTGAGTTGTGCTAAGTGTCAATCTTGTTCAGTTTTGTTTTGTATTGGATTAAGCATTTTATTTTGTCCAATCAGATGGGAGTGGGTGGGATTAATGGTGCGCTGCATGAAACGTGAGTCTGTGTGGAAAAACCAGATGAGTGCAGAGAGCACAGCCATGCAGCCATGGGACAATAACAGGGTAAAGCTGTCCATTGCAAAGGTTAATGCAGAGTTGCTGAATGTAATGGAGGTAAATATACCTTTTTATGTTTTATGCTGTTTCAGAATGATGCAGTGTGTAGATGAAAACCATGCTAAGTGTATCATTTTAGCATGCTAGCATGATGTAGCAGCTCAGGTTATTGTATAATGAAATGTAAAGCCAAACATTAGTGGCTGGTTAAGCTCTTAATGGCTCCATAGGAGAACCTAGTGTGTTTTACTAAGGAATATGGACTGAGCTGTCAATTTGTACAGTGGACCATCTTTGGACCTGCTGGATGAGTTAGAAGTTCCCCATTCAGCCATTGGTTTCCCATCTATGAGGTTGCTGCCAGGAAGGATCTTGGTATTCACGTGACATCACCTGCCTACTTACCTGTACTCAGTGCTATATTAAAGGGATCTCTACATCTACCTTTTCCCGATCTGGTCTCAAACTCTGAAGGATTTGTGAGTACAAAACTAAACCAATGCACGTGCTTTATATTTTATTTGCTCAGTGAGCAAACGAGCTGTTTGTTTTTAGTTCCCACACACCCAAGCATCAATTCAAGCCTGCAACAGGTTATTTTGGGGTTGAGTTTTATGTTTGAAAAGCCTTACTGAAATACTGTACCGCAAATATTTGGGTTAAGTTGATAGAACTGAAAGTACTGTGAAAAGTTGGCATCAGTGTCTTATTTGAAAGTTACTTAAGTGTTTATTTTATTTTATTTTTTTGTATTCCATTTTTTTTAATCTAATTTCCTTAAATGAATTGTTAAAATTGAATAGTTTTCATTTAATACTATTTCTGTTTCAATTTGTGATTCTTGACCTGCCATTGTGTATCTGTTCCTCTTTCCTGTTCCTCTCAAACCCAGCCGGTTGAAGCAGATGGCCGCTTGTCCTGAGCCTGGTTCTGCTAAAGGTTTCTTCCTCATGAAAGAGTTTTTCCTTTCCACTGTCGCCTTCATGCTTGCTCAAGATGAGTTCTGCAATGGAGTTAAATTCAAAGCCGTCTGCTCCTCAGATAAATAGTGTTAACTTATGGTATTTTTAAATAAATGAATGTTTCTGTTCAGTGCCCTGAGATGACTTCTGTTGTGACTTGGCCCTTTATAAATAAACTGAATTGAATTTACTGTCTTCTACCACCCAATGATAGAAATGGACATAAATGAGTCTTGTGAATCTTAGGCAAGGGAAGTTTATTAGTATACAATATTATAATTTTTACACAAGGCAATTCAGTGGGTCTTACAGAAACAAAAATGTAGATTAAAATACATAAAAATTAAGAAAATAAAAACACTGAAAGTTGTGCATTACATAAAAACAATAAAATACAATTTGAAACTGAGAACTGATAAAACATAAAGGCAGAATAAGCTTTGGCCTTTATGGAAAAGCTGCTATCCTGATTTCAAAGAGCCAATAATTCTGCACATTAAGCATTCAGGTAGTTGATTAGTTGAGGAACATATCAATTAAATACCGCATTCCTTCATTTGGGTTTGGTCTCCTTGAGGAAACACTGAGAGGTCTAGGGGTTTATATCTGACAACTATAACTTTTGAGATGCATCTAGGTTCCACTGCGTAAAAGATTGGTATCAAGATTTCAGAATTTACGACTGTGTAACTCTGTGGTTTTATGGTGGTGTAATCCTGAGATTATGGGCTCAAGCTCAGGTTGTATCAGGAAGGACATCCAGTGTAAAACCACTGACAAATCTTTCATGCGAGTTTGCTCATTGTGGCAATCTCTGAAGAAGGGAGCCGTTGAAAGAAAGTTTATCAGGATTTTAAAATGTCTCTTTACAAAATAAACAAAAAGCCAGTAATAATAATGTGTAATGTATTGTCATCATTGTATGTTTCCAAAATTGGCTCTCTGCATTTAACCCATCCACCACCAGGCGGAGCGGTGGACGGCCTTTGGAGGTGCCGGGGGAGCAACTGGGGATGGAGTGTCCTGCTCAGAGACATCACGAGATGTGCAATGACCAGGGATTGAACCCTGGACATCTGCCCTGCCCCTACACCATCTCGGCCCCTACAGAGGTGTTCAAGGACTAGTGCAATATGTTCTAGTGAGGGTTCTCAGTAATAGGTCTGAATGAAGGCAATTGAAACGCCTCAGAACATGGTAAGATATGTTTTCTTGTTCGTTAGTCAGGACTCTGGCAACAACATTTTGGATGAGCTCCAGCAACTGACTGAAGATTTTCTGTTAAACTGACACCTATACAAATCCTACTACAATAATCTAATATACAGTACTAAAAATTAAAAACATGTTCCAGATTTTTAATTTCTGTATTTGTCAGAAATTTCTTATTGTTGCAATGTGTTTTAGATGACTAATTTAGAAACTGTGATTACCCAAATTTAGGCATGAATCCGCAGTTACCTGATGTTTCTGGTATGCTTTGTAGATTTTAGTACCAGTGAGTTTAGCTGAATACTGATCTCTAGTCTTGCATGTTTTGGACCAATAACAATTCCTTCTTTTTTGTTTTTTACGCTGACCTTGAGAAAATTCTAACCTCAGATTATGGAATTTTGTAATATTTCTTACAATATTTAGGCCTATGACACATATCTTTACGTTT